AATCTAGGCCCAATGTCTGCCGTGAATTGATCAGCTACATATATTATCTGAGGAGCTTTTTATTTTATTTTTTTAAAATATGTTTTTATTGCCCAGTCAGTGTGAGCATCAACCTATGAACCAGGAGATCAGGGTTTGATTCCTGGTCAGAGCACATGCCTGGGTTGGGGGCTAGCAAGAGGCAGCCGACCAATTATTCTTTCATCATTGATGTTTCTCTCCCTTCCTCTCTGAAATCAATAAAAGTATATTAAAAATGTTTTTTATTGATTTTAGAGAGAGAGGAAGGGAGAAGGATAGAAACAACAATGCAAGAGAAACATCGATGGGCTGCCTCCTGACCGGCCCCTACCAGGGAGGGATCAAGCCGGGAAACCTAGGCATGTGCCCTGACCGGGAATCCAACCAGTGACCTCTCTGTGCATTGTCCCATGCACCAGGAGGGCGCTGGTTGGTTCCAGTCAGGGCACATGCCTGGGTTGTGGGCTCCATCCCCAATAGAAGCTGTGTCTGGGGAAATGTGTGGGAGGCGGCCAATTGATATTGCTCTTTCATCAATGTTTTTTTTTCTCTCTATGAAGTCAATAAAAACATTTTTTTTTTAAATACAAAATTTTGGATCAAAACTCCAGAAAAGTCTTATTTGGTACTTGTGTAATGAGGCTCTAGAATTTATGTATTTAAAACTTGGTTATTTTAAATAGATAATACATGTATGTAGTATACAATTCAAAAGGTACAAAAAAATTATAGCCAAGTCTCCCTTTCACTTTTGCCTTCCTGCTTCAAGTTCACGTTTCCTTAAGTTATCACTTGTCGGAAACTATCGTCTTCACTAGCAGAGAAGAGACCCCCAAAAGCTAGTGACCTTTGAAGCCCTAGCAAAGGTCGGAGCTGTGCACCACCCAGTTAATCTAGATAATGGTAGCTGAAGCATCATCCCCACCTTAGTTCACTTAATTCCTTAGATACTTATGTAAATCCTTGTTGATTATTGTTGATTAGATATTCTGCCTATTTCTGGAAATTGTCTGCTGATGAACTAATCTGTGTGTCATTGAAATTTCCTTACCTAAGGGCTACCCCAGATCAATAAAAGGTTGGAGCGGCCTGAGCATCAGTGGAAGTCCCTCTCCTTGAGTTGGACTTGCCCGCCTGGTCCCCCCACATCTCCAAATTGTCTGTCTCTTTTCTCTCTCATTTGTGTGCGGCTCCTCTTTCAGATCCCGAACCCTAATCCACGCGGGACGTGGAGGGAAACACACTCGACAATCACTGTTACCAATTTCTCTTGTATTCTTCCAGATAATTATTTGCCTAAGCAAGTATATCTATATCCTTTGCTTTAAACACACAGTTGCATATTTAAAGAACTGTTCTAACTTTGGTGTTTTTTTTTCAATTCCCACTTAACAAAGTATGTTGAAAATGAAGGTGTCTTTGTATTTTTCACACGCACCCCGGGTGGTTCTGAGGTGAAGCTGACTATAGGAACCACCCAATGCCCCAGGTTAAGGGGTTAAGTTCGACTCACCATTACACATTAGAAACTCAAGGATATTGAAAAGATGCCCTCAAAAGCGGCCTTGCTTACTTGACCTCTGCCCTCTCGTCTTATGCACATGAACTCCCACATTCTCTAAATGTCTCCATATAAGCCAGGAAAAAAAGTCATTTAAATAGGTATTGCCAAAAGCTGTTCAATTTTCAATTCCTGGAACCCTTTCCTGCCCGGTTACCACCTGAAATCCCAAACATGACCATCTCATTTTGGTATTTGGGTTATAATGAAGTTTGATTTACACTGATTTTCTCGGCTGGCAGTGACGCTGTTTAATGGAGCACAACTGAGATACTCCCCTTACTCATCCCCCCGGCACCACAGCGTCCAGCCCGCCCCCGGAATCGCTTTCTTACCATCGGGGCTGCAGTGGACCTGACTTCCTCTCTATGGCGGGATGGGCTACGGCCCGGTGCCTGTGCGGCTCTAGCTTTCTCTGCCCACCCGCCCGAGAGGCGGCGGGAAGAGCATCCTTTCGGCACGGAGGGCAGGCCCTCCGAGGGCACCCGCGGGTCTCCGCAGTGTCCCCTTCTCCGCGAGGGGCACCACGCGGCAGGCATCTCACCTCCGCGCCGAGCAAGGAGCTGGAGGGCTCGCCAGGCGAGGCAGGGAACCCACCCGCTGCAGCGCCGGCTCACCCCACCTCCCAGCTGGGGGGCTCGGAAGGGATGAGGAAGGGCGTGAGTCCTCTCCATCCCTGGCCCCTGGACTCAAACGAGCGTGGGGCCCAGGGGCCCAAACCTGACCCCGCCCTTCTCTGCTCGGGCTTTTCTCCATCCTCTGGGCCCTCCGGCGCCCCCTGAGCCTCGGCCCAGGCCTCCGCAGCTCGGCCGGCCGGCCCCCCTTCCCGCCCACTGCCGGCGCCCTCACCCAGCATGATGGGGCTGAGCCGCCGGGCCAGGCCCTTGGACAGGTCGTACACGTAGAGCTTCACCGGATAGAGATTCGACGGCTCCATCGGGACCCGTGGCGGCCGCGGCCACGAAGCCCCTCTGGCACCCGGCAGCGGCCGAGACCTTCCCGTACCCACCGGGGTGGGGAGCGGAAGGAGCGCGGGGGGACCGAGCCCGGGCCCGGCCTGAAGGGCGGGGAAGAGGCGGTCCTGCTCTGCTCGCAGCCCCACGCCGCTCGCGCTCCCCGCCCGCCACCGGCAACGACTACTGTGAGGTGACAGAGCCGGGACGAGCGGGGTCCTCGCGGAAGAGGGCCAGGGGCGGGACGCGCTTCGGCGCATGTGCACGCCATCCTGACCGGCGGAGGGGGCGGGGCTTCGCTGGAGGGGGCGGAGCTTTCGCGGAGGGGGTGGCGTTCCTTAGCGACTTGTAGGAAAAGCAGCTTGTGGGAGTGGGCGTGTCATTTGACAGGAAAAGTACGCACTGTGCGTGATGACGTAGGGCGTTGATTGGAAGAGAGACCGCGCACACCGGCGCCCCACCTTCAGCCCAAGTCGACCTCTTCCTTGCGCTCGAGGTAGGCGGGAAGCGTCTGTGTCTGCGTGTTGCTGGCGGGTTGGCCGGATTCCTCTCGCGTGGCTGCAGGGCTGCGTCGGCCAGTGGTGTGCGGCCCGAGTGTAGAGACGGCCTCTGGTTCCCGCTCCTGCCTCCCGGGGCAGGTGGCACGCGCGCGGCCTTGGAGGCCCGCCTGCACTTGAGACTCCACTGGGCAGGGCCGGCTGAGGACTTGAGGGGGATTTGGGGGCGGAATGAGGACAGATGCGTCCACTAGAGGACCGAGCCTCCTGGAGCGGGAATCCCTCAAGTCCCGATGGTGCCCATGGTGGAACGGAACGTTCACATCCATCAGAGTGGCCACCGTGAGCCCCCGCCTTCAGGGATAAGGAAGGCGAGGCTGCTGGAATGATGCCCACTCACCTCTGGGTCTCGGGGACCGAGAGCTCTCCAGGCAGCAGGACCCAGCGTCCACACCACCGGCCCTTAGAACAGATCTCAAAGGAATTGATATTTTTAGGTTTAAATTTGTTCGATACTGAACTTAACTTTCTTCCATCTAGTGACCCGTTACCAACATGTCAGGCTGGGAGTCTTTTTACAAAAACGAGGGCGATGAAGAAGAAGAGCAGGAGGAGGGCCCGGAAGCAGGGGGTAGGTGACTGTAACCTATACCGCTGTGTGTGTGGAAGACTCTCCCTGCCTGTCTCTGCTGGGTGTCCTTTGCTGTCTAATGGCCTACCCTCCTCTCCTGAGGACCTCAGATACCTTTTTCCCTTTGGACTTTGCGGAGCTACCCGAGGCTCTTTCATTCACGGCCTGCTCTAGACTATGGGGCATTTCTAGCTTAAGCTTTTGCTGGGCGCTGACTGGTAGGTTGACATCTGTGGAGCTCCAATAAATGACCCTGAGCAGTGGTATGTTTTGTTACCTTAGATGGCTCAGGTAAGCCTCTTCCTGTTCCAGGAAAGTAGTTTTCTGTTGTTGTTTTTTTAATCCTCATGCTAGGTTATGTCTTTGTTGATTTTAGAGAAAAAGAGGGAGAGAGAGAGAAACATCGATTGATTTGCCTCCCATATGCACCTCAATCAGGCATCGAACCCACAACCGAGGTATGTGCCCTGACCAGAAATCAAACCTGGAGCCTTTCAGTGTATGGGAGGATGCTCCAACCAACTGAGCAGACCGTCCAGGGCCCAGGAATATAGTTTTACTCATCCTAGTACCTCAATACAAAAATGCCTTCCTATAATAATTGCAGCAACCAGAGTAAACATTAGCAATGCAGTTACAGCTGTCATTCCCTTACCATAACCTCCAGGTTTGGGGGTATATGTTCAGCCAACACACTAACACATAGGATAAAGAAAGAGAAATAAGGGATACATGTATCTGTATACTATTTAGTTTAAGTCTGAAAACTATAAAATGTTTTTATTAAAATTGAGAAATAGGAAATGTTGAAAAAAGAGAATGTTTATTATAATCTATATAATCACCCTAACACAACTACTAGCATTTTGGCATTTTGCATATTTCCTTCATATACCTTCATTCTGCATATTTCCTAACTATGTATATCTGTTTTTTCTTTGTATCTGAGTTTTTATATAGTTGTGATCATAGTGCATATACATTAAAATTTATTTTTTAATTTTTTTGTTAATCCTCACCTGAGGATATTTTTTCCATTGATTTTTAGAGAGAGTGGAAAGGAGGGAGGGAGGGAGAGAGAGAAACAGACATAGATGTAAGAGAGACACATTGATCGGTTACCTCCTGCATGTGCCATGACTGGGACTAGGGATTGAACCTGCAACCCAGGCACATGCCTTTGACCAGGAATTGAACCTGCAACCCTTCTGGTGTGTGGGCTGACGCTCTAACCACTGAGAACACTGGCCAGGGCTGGATATTTTAATTATTTTCAACTTCTTACTTTAATAAATAACATTGGGGAAAATTTTGCATAAGGGTTTTTTTCATATATTATTTTCTTAAGATAGATTTTTAAGAGGTAAAATTTCCTGGGTCAAGGTGGAATTTTGTTTAAGGCTCTTGACACATGGTCATACTGTTTTAATAAAAGATGGGTAATGAAATTTATTGTATTAAGCAGCGGTGTTAAAAAAGGAGACCATCAGACATATGAAGAACACAACATCACCCTTGATATAATCATGCCAAAATAAAGAAAACCGGCATGTGATGAAGCCTCTGGTCCGTGGTAGGAAACACAGAGGGCTATGTTAATCTACACCAGAAGAATGCAGTCAGCAAAATCCAGAAGGTGGACAGCTGCACATGACACAACATCCTGATTCTTCAACAAATACATTGTGAGACAAAAGATGGAGGGGGTTAGCTAGAGCTTACGAGGCTTCAAAAGCATTAAAAAAACCCCCACTAGTGTTTAGGAGTGTTTGCTTGGATGAGAAAACTAGGAAGAAAAATAAGGAGGGCCCTAGCCGGTTTGGCTCAGTGGACAGAGCTTCGGCCTGCGGACTGAAGGGTCCCGGGTTCGATTCTGGTCAAGGGCACATGCCCGGGTTGTGAGCTCAGTCCCCAGTGGGGGGCACTCAGGAGGCAGCCAATCAATGATTCTCTCTCATCATTGATGTTTCTGTCTCTCCCTCTCCCTTCTCTGAAATCAATAAAAATATTTTTTTTTAAAAAAGGAGAAAGACAAGGAGGTGAAGTCAGGATAGTGGTTGCTCTTGGGAAAGTTGTTGGATAAATGTGTGGATGGTCTTTCTCCATTGCTAGTGGGAGTGGGGTTCTTGGGGTACCACTGATATAAGAATTTCCAGAGGCCCCTATGGGAGGATGAGATATGGTAGAAAGCTTCGTTTTTGTGGAATTACATCCTTGGGCTTATAAAGTCCCATTTCCATTGGATTCCAGTCCTGGAAGATGTATAGCTGGGGATTCAGTAGAACTAGAAGCAAAGCCCACTTAATACAATAATTTTAATTACCCATCTTTTATTAAAACAATATGACATATGTGTCAAGAGCCTTAAACAAAATTCTACCTTGACCCAGGAAATTCTACCTCTTAAAAATTTATCTTAAGAAAATAATATAGCCCTGACCGGTTTGGCTCACTGGATAGAGTGTCAGCCTGGGGACTGAAGGGTCCCAGGTTCGATTCTGGTCAAGGGCATGTACCTTAGTTGCAGGCACATCCCCAGTGGGGGGTGTGTAGGAGGCAGCTGGTCGATGTTTCTCTCTCATCGATGTTTCTGACTCTATCCCTCTCCCTTCCTCTCTGTAAAAAATCAATAAAATATATTTTAAAAAAAAGAAAAGAAAATAATATATGTCCAAAATTTCTGTTCTAGTATGCAGCTGGGTCCAGTTTAGCATTAGGCTAGTTGCAATCTATTAATCCATTGTGTGTGGGGTCCACATGGCTGTGACCGTTTGGGTGAATGTAGGAATGTGAGAACTCTGTAAGCCAGGAGTCAACTTCAGCAAGCAAGAGCACAAAAGAGCAAGCTCCTTTGTTTAGGAGATTAAATATCTTAAAACTTCCCGAGCTTGCAGTGGTCACACCTACTCTGGCCAATGACCTGTTCCCAGGTGTGGCTGACAGACAAGCACCTTACCCGTTTCATCCAGACTTTATTGGTCATGCATCTAAACCGCAGCTTCCTGGCAAAGCTGCACAAATCGCATGCCCATAATATTTGGCCTTCCCTTTGCTCCTTTCCAGTTATTCATAACTAGGTTAAATGACAGTGCTATCAGGAGGAGGCTCAGCATTGTAATTGGGAGGGAACATGGAGAGGGCTTCTGGGTGACTGGTAAGATTCACTGTGGGTAGTGGTTTTAAGGGTGTTCATGCTATATAATAAAAGGCTAGTATGCAAATTGTCCCCTTGATGTGGAGTTCAACCAGGAGTTTGACCAGGGGGCGGGGCTGGCCAGCCAACCTCCCGTGGCCCCTCCCCCCCAGCTCCACCCCCAATTGCTACCGGCAGGGCCGGCCCGCCAACCGCCCATGGCCCCTCCCCACAGGCTGGCCCGGCTGATAGCCCCGATCGAGGTGGGCCAGCCAGACCCCACCACTGCACGAATTCATGCACCGGGCCTCTAGTCTTATAATAATTCATCAGGCTATACTTCTGCTTAATGGGTTTTTCTCTATTTGTTCTATTTAAATAATAAACATGATAAATATGAACACAAGGGCAAGCATTTCCTTCCTTTTTTTTCCCCCCTGTAGGAGAATACACATATTCAGGAAGAGATAGTTTGATTTTTTTGGTTGATGCTTCTAGGGCCATGTTTAAATCAGAAGGTGAAGATGAAATGACTCCTTTTGACATGAGCATCCAGGTAAGATTGCCTTTTTATTTAAAACAAACAAAACCCCAAAGTATTAACACTACTTTTAAAAATATGGGCTCTGTGTGAAAATTTTGTTTGTGAATGATAAATGGTGGTTAACCTCCCCGGATGGCTATGTGTAAAAGTGTGACAGTGTTGGAGAACAGGCCCATTTAATTCTGGGTTTGAGCTCCGGACACTAGGAATACATTGCTCCCACCTTTGGCATTAGCCCTGGTAGTAGAAATGGGCTGCTCCTTCCGTAGAGATGGGAGCATAGCGGAAGAGAGGACATTCCAGCAATTATTGTATGGAAATGAGTCCTTTTGTAAGTGATATTTGGAAGTTGGGTGTTACCTGTGGTTGAAAAAGATTATTACAACAAAAAGACAAAAAACCCAATTAAAAAATGGGCATAGGACTTGAATATACATGTCTCTAAAGATGTGCAAATAGCCAACAAACACAGAAGATTCTGAACATCTTTAGTCATTAGAGAAATGCAGATCAAAACCACAATGAGATATCTCACCCACTAGGATGGATATAATTACAAAAAAAAAAAAAAGGAAAATAAGAAGGATGTGGAGAAACTAGAAGCCTCATACATTGATAGTGGGAATGTAAAATGGATCAGCTGCTGTGCAAAACAGTTTGGCAGTTCCTCAGAATTCAATATAGAATTACAATCTGACCCAGCAATTCTCCCAGGTGTATACCCAACAGAATCAGGTACTCAGATTCTGATTCTGCCACTTAATAAACTGTCTGATGTTTAATGTTCAAAGAGTTGCCCAACCTTTTGCTATCTGTTTTTTCATCTGTGAAATGGAGAGAATAATAGTATCTTCCATATCACGTTGTGAGAATTAGTTTGTTTTTTAAAAAATATTTTTTAAACTTAAAAAAAAATATTTGTATTGATTTTTAGAGAGAGAGGAAGGGAGAGAGTGAGAGTGAACCATTGATTGGCTGCCTCCTGCCCATGTGCCCTGACTGGGAATGGAACCAGCAACCTTTCTGGTGTATAGGACGACGTTCCAACCAACTGAGCAACTGGCCAGGGCTAGTTTAGTTTTTTAAAATGAGGTGTAGTTCACATAACAAAATTAACCTTTCTAAAGTGTACAGTTTTGGCCAATGAACTGTACACTTTCATGTATATTTAGTCATTCACAATGTTGTGTAACCACCACTTCTGTCTCATTCCAAAACATTTTGAAGTGGATAAACAAAATGCTTATACCTACATCGTAATATTACTCAGGCATAAAAAGAAATGAAAAAACTGATACATGCTACAAGGTAAATGAACATGGAAAACATGTTAAGTGAAAGAAGCCAGACAAATGAAATGTAGACTAGATAATCCATAGAGAATGCAGGTTGGTCGTTCCTAGGGGCAGCGGGGAGGGAGGAATGGGAAGCGATGGTGTAATGGATATGGCGATTGCTGTGGAGCTGGTGAAAATATTTTGGAACTAGATGGAGGTGGTGGTCACACAACATTGTAAATTTACTAAATACTACTGAATTGCTCACTTTAAAATGATTAACTTTGTTATATGAATTACACTTCAATTAAAAAGGTCACTATTCATAGAAAAGAATTTCTAAACATTTATTGTATATCTCAGGTCTCATATTTTTAGAGTTTGGAACCAAATAAGCTTCTCATGTTCTAATTTGTATACAGACAGTTCTTGCATTTGGCAGATCAGAATATCTTGGCATTTAAAAACAGAGTTAATAAAAATCAATCCTTAACTTTAAAACTTTAACCTACATCAGAGTCACCTACAGGGGCTTGTTAACATGGACTGTGGGGCTTTTCCCCAGATTCTGTGGGTCTAGAGCCGGGACTAAGAATTGGCATTTCCAGCAAGTTCCCAGGTGATGCTGATGTTGCTGGTTTGGAGGTCACTCTTGGAGGAGCACTGCTTTAACCTTTTTGGGATCACGGCCCTCTCTTTACAATGTGATGAAAACTATGTCCCTCTCCCCAGAAAGACACACTCACAGTTCCACATGTAGTTTCAAAGGGTTCGAAGAACCCTTGATGCCTAAAGAACCCAGAAGAAAATGTAGTATTATGTAGCGAATAAGTGAGACATTCACAGATGAGCATAGTCAATATATAAAAGCCTAAGCGACCAATGACTGAACGACTGAACAACCGACCAGTTGCTATGACACGCACTGACCACCAGGGGTCAGATGCTCAACGCAGAAGCTGCCCCCTGGTGGTCAGTGGGCTCCCACAGCCAACCTCCTGCAGCTGGCCAACCTCCCGCAGTCCCCCAGCCAGCCAGCCCTGATCAACGCTGATCTCCGACCAGGCTGAGGGACCCCAAGCGTGTACGAATTTGTGCACCAGGCCTCTAGAGTCTAGTGTATTTGATAAGAAGCAATGAAAAAACGTTTTCTGTAATTCGATGTTAGTTTTCTTTTGTGTGTGTTTTTATTTCTTAGAGTCTATAAGAAGGCCTCACCAAATTTTTGTAAGTATTTATAAACTGCTCAAAAAATAGATGGAAGTGTTTGTAGAAATGACTACTTGCCTGCAGATTATTGTCAATGAGTAACATACTGTAAGTTCTGCATTTAACGAGAGAATTGCTGTGGAGGAAGGTTGCTGAGAAGCTCAGGCAGGACATGGAGGGGTCACCATGCTGGTTTATTCCCCAGCTTTGCAGATTCAGAAACTTAATTTTGTCAGTGTCCCCAGAATTAAATAGGCTGCCAGGACAGACCAACTCTTCAGAGACACCGATTGACCAGGTGCTGACATTAGTTTCAATAGGTAGCTAGACCTCTCCTGGTATACTGATGTTTTTAATTGTGTAATTAAGCAAATCGTATTGTAGAAAATGCTGTTAGTAGTTATGACTTTTTTTCCGGTCACATATACTTACTGTTAGCTTAAACCTTTTATACACGTAATTATTTTATAAATGTAAATTCTGTTTCTTAGTATCAAGCTACTTGAGGAAAGATCAAGTGACCTGACCAAAACCCAGCCAGTTAGTGTGTGACATCAGTGAGACTAATACCCAGGTTTTCTGATTCCATTAGTGAGCTTTTCCCATATAGCAGTTTCCTCCCTGAGTATATACATGCTTTAAATTTCTGACTTCTTATGGTAAGGACTGCTTACTGCACTCTGCTTTTTGTTATAGTGTAATATATCTGCCCATCACTCTCACTGATTCATGAATTTCCTGAAGGTAGAGGTCATACCTTATTCTAATGCCATGTATACATTCAGCAAATATATATCGAGCACCTACTATGTGCCAGGCACTTATGGAGTTTAAGTTTAGTGGTAAGTAGTTAAACATTAATATTTTTGTTTTTATTTTTCCAGTGTATCCAGAGTGTGTACACCAGTAAAATCATAAGCAGTGATCGAGATCTCTTGGCAGTGGTGTTCTATGGTACCAAGAAGGACAAAAACTCAGTGAATTTCAAAAATATTTACGTCTTACAGGAGCTGGATAATCCAGGTCAGTGTTTCTAAGATTAACTTGTCCCTTACGTGTTTTCCGTGAGCAAAGAGATGTGGAGAAGGCAGCAGATGACACCTTGACTAAGAGTATGCTTTCCTGCACGAGGGTGCTCTCAGGATGTGGACTTTTGCTGTATGGGTTAAACAGCTCGGTGACAAATGGACCTTAGGCCCTTCCATTGGTCTTGTAAAGGTGTCCACTGACACTGACTTTTCGCCCATTTGACTCCCTGTCTCTGATCAGGTGCTAAACGAGTGTTAGAGCTCGCGCAGTTTAAGGGGCAGCAGGGAAAGAAACATTTCCAAGACCTGATTGGCTATGGATGTGACTACTCACTAAGTGAAGTGCTGTGGGTCTGTGCCAACCTCTTTAGCGATGTCCAGTTCAAGATGAGCCATAAGAGGATCATGCTGTTCACCAATGAAGATGACCCCCATGGCAATGACAGTGCCAAAGCCAGCCGGGCCAGGACCAAAGCTGGGGATCTCCGTGACACAGGTCGGTATTTCCCCCGTTCTTTTATTTTTATTTTTATTTTTTTTTAAATATATTTTTATTGATTTTTTATAGAGAGGAAGGGAGAGAGATAGAGAGTTAGAAACATCAATGAGAGAGAAACATCAATCAGCTGCCTCCTGCACATTCCCTACTGGGGATGCGCCCGCAACCCAGGTACATGCCCGTGACCGGAATCGAACCAGCCAGCCGGGCCAGGACCAAAGCTGGGGATCTCCGTGACACAGGTCGGTATTTCCCCCGTTCTTTTAAATTGGCACTTAATTTTATTGCTTCTGTATAGCTGATGTCAAACATTTGCTTTTCACCATTCAGAGTAAAATGAAAGAATAACATGCAGCTGGAGGAGACACTTGTGTAACATTCCCAGTGAAAATGGGCAGGCCATTAGCAGTCTAAAGGACTCTACTAGAGCAAGATTTTCTTGATTTTAATGCTACTGTGAATGGTAGTTATTTGAGTATGTTGTCCGAAGTCATTATACAGCTGACTCCCTTAGCCACTTTCTCTGATTCCTAAAATGTTAACAACCAGCCTCGTTCTTTGGGATCTTCATTTATTTATTATTTTCAATTTTTTATTGATTTCAGAGACAGGAAGGGAGAGGGAGAGATAGAAACATCAATGATGAGAGAGAATCTTTGGTTGGCTGCCTCCTTCATGGCCCCCTACCAGGAATTGAGCCCGCAAACCTGACCAGGAATCGAACCGTGACCTGGTTCAAAGGTTGACGCTCAACCATTGAGCCACACCAGCCAGGCTCTTTGGGATCTTTAAAAAGCATATTTGAACTTAACTGCAAAAATGTTTTGGTGAAAATTGTTTCCCCTCACTTGTGTCTGTCCTTTCCCCAGGTATCTTTCTTGACTTGATGCACCTGAAGAAACGTGGAGGCTTTGACATATCCTTATTCTACAGAGATGTCATCAGCACAGCAGAGGATGAGGACCTAGGGGTTCACTTCAAGGAGTCGAGCAAGCTAGAAGACCTGTTGAGGAAGGTCCGAGCCAAGGAGACCAGGAAGCGCCCACTCAGCAGGTGGGCACTGAGCCTGCGCCAACTGCCCATACATCCTCTAACACCATCAGTAATGCATAGCTTTGATCTCCCTGGCTACTTAACTCTGGGCGGTGCCTCGGCCTCACTGTGTTCCTCTAAAGCAGTGGTCGCCAACCGGTGGTCCATGAGGTCCAAAAGGTTGGCGACCGCTGCTCTAAAAAACGTGCTTGATTTTAGGATAGCGTAAATTATTTGCTTTTCTTCCCTTGAAAGAGCTGGTATATTTTTTCAAAATAATGCAGCCCCTGCCCTGACCGGCGTGCCTCAGTGGTTAGAATGTCAGTCCCTGTACTGAAGTCTTAGGTTCAATTCTCACTCAAAGGCACATACCTGGGTTGCAGGTTCAATTGATATGTCTCTCTCACATGGATGTTTCTCTCTCTCTCTCCCTTCCTCTCTTCCACTCTCTCTAAAAGTCAATGGAAAAAATATCATCAGGTGAGAATTAACAAAAAATAACACAGCCCCCCACTTTCTTGGGGTAAACAGTTGGGGCCTAACAGTATCCTCAGTTGCGCTCACTAGTTTATCGCCTGCTTTCTTCTCTGTAAATTGGGGATAACAATAGTACCTGGTATAGAGCAAAAACTCAATAGATGTTAGTTGTTAGCATTGTTAAAATTCTGATATTCTGATGTCTTATAAACTTGAGACCAATAGGAACCAGATAGTTAGATTGCCATCTTCTTTCCTTTTTCTTTTTTTGGTTTTGTTAATCCTCACGCGAGGATATCTTTTCCATTGATTTTTTAGAGAGAGTGGAAGGGAGGGAAGGAGGGGGAGAGAGAAAGTGAAGGGAGAGAGAGAGAGAGGGAGAGAGAGAGAGAGAGAGAGAGAAAAGCATTGATGTGAGAGAAACACATCGACTGGTTGCTTCCTGCATGCCTCCAGATTGGGAACTGAACCCGAAACCCTTTGGTGCCCAGGCCAATGCTCTAACCACTGAGCACACCGGCCAGGGCAGATTATCTCTTTTTAGAGAACTTTGGCATTGGAATCCTAAGGGCTCCTTAGCATTTCTTAAGAGCATCAGGCTTTCATTTTTGACTAGTTTCCTCACTACAGGGGAATATGACCATTGGTGGTTTCTGAGCAGTTTTCAAGGGATTATTGGTATTCTACTAGAGCAGTGGTTCTCAACCTCCCTAATGCCGCGACCCTTTAATACAGCTCCTCATGTTGTGGTGACCCCCAACCATAAAATTATTTTCGTTGCTACTTCATAACTGTAATGTTGCTACTGTTATGAATCATAATGTAAATATCTGATATGCAGGATGTATTTTCATTGTTACAAATTGAACATAATTAAAGCATAGTGATTAGTCACAAAAACAATATGTAATCATATATGTGTTTTCCGATGGTCTTAGGCAACCCCTGTGAAAGGGTCATTCGACCCTCAACGGGGTCGCGACCCGCAGGTTGAGAACCGCTGTCCTAGAGGATGCATGGCATTGTAAGGAACCACGACCCCACTCATTGCTGCAGTCATGGTGTTGTCATTGCTGTCCTTTCCCCCTAGGAACTGCTCTTTCCTCAAGCCCTGTTACCTCTTCCTCCTTTCTGAAGTGACGGCATGTTGTTACCACAATTTGAAAACCTACTACAGCAAGCATGTCAAACTTGTGGCCTGCGGGCTGCATTCCTCCTTTATTTGGCTCAGGTTAGCCTTTGAGTTTGACATGCTGGTACTACACATTTTGGTGAGGATGCATAAATTAAAGGGAGATTGCTTGGATTCTAGTTCTGGCCCCTCTGCTGTGTGGCCCGAGGCAAGGCATGTAAATTCTCTGAGCCTCAGTAAAATGGGAGCAAAACTGAGAGCTCCTTATAGGATTGCTGTGATGATTAAATGGAATAACCTAGGCACAGTGCTTGGCACATGGTAATTATTTATAAATGTTAGCTATTCTTACTACTTTGTGGTAGAATTATTATAGAATACTTGGTATGAATAATACATTGGAGCTGTTTGAGGACTAATAATGCTTTAGGCCGAAGACCTAGAAAATTATTACACTTGTTCTTGCTATAACCAAATAATAAAATTACTTTATTACATGTTTACTGGATGCCAGGCATTGTCTTAAATTCGTTGTGAATATATTAATTAACTTATTTAATCTTTAATGACAACCCTTTGAAATAGATTGAAACCTACCCATTAATAACACTTATTAACCTTAAGACATTTCAGATGAAGTTAAACATATCAAGCAACTTGTTTTGCACTGTGAGCTTCCATATTTTCCTTGACAAGTTATGACATAAGCCATGAGGTTGTAAACTATGATGTTATACTGTAACTTTTTTTTTTAAAATATATTTCATTGGTTTTTTACAGAGAGAAAGGGAGAGGGATAGAGAGTTAGAAACATCGATGAGAGAGAAACATCGATCAGCTGCCTCCTGCACATCTCCTACTGGGGATGTGTCCGCAACCCAGGTACATGCCCTTGACCGGAATCGAACCTGGGACCTTTCAGTCCGCAGGCCGACGTCTATCCACTGAGCCAAACCGGTTTCGGCATACTGTAACTTTTTAAAAATATATTTTTATTGATTTCAGAGAGGAAGGGAGAGGGGGAGAGAGATAGGAACATCAATGATGAGAGAGAATCATGGATTGGCTGCCTCCTGCATGCTCCACATTGGGAATCGAACCATGATCTCCTGGTTCATAGGTCGGGCTATAACTTTATCTTAACTCAGAGTTATGATATTTTCAAGGTCAAAAGGTACCTTAATACATAAATGTGAAAATTTAAGACTGGATACGGGGAGTAATGGATTTGATAGAAATAGAACCAAGGTCACTTGAAGCCTGAGGTCTGAGTGGACCATATTGGCCAATGCTCTTTCCCAGGATACTAAAATTCAGAGGACACAGCAATTTTAAAAAATTACTTTGAAGATGGTGCAGTTTTTTAAATTGGTTACATTTATTGTCAGCAGCCTTTAGACAACTGAGTTTAACTGAGTCAGCCAGAATAATTTAAAATAGGAAGCCACCAAATGGTTTGTGTTGTTAGTAATGCCATCTGTTACTAGTACTCATGATACATTATCAAATTGATCTGGAAGCATAATAGCTGCTTGCTCCAGGAGCCAACATTTCTAGTTAGGACTCTGTTCCAAAGCAGTGTTCTTCCCACCGTGTGAACCAATATACCTTTGAACTAGTTGTAACTTGTTTAAATATGTTCTCGTCTTTAAAATCAATACTCCTAAACATTCCCCTACAGTAAAGATTGGGTTATTAATCTGATTCTCTCCTCCTTTTTGATAAAGATCTCTAAAGCCATAAATTTCCTTTGAACACTTTTTAGCTGCATCCTGTACCTTTTGATATGTTGTGTTTTCACTTTTTAAAAAAATATATTTTTATTGATTTCAGAGAGGAAGGGACAGGGAGAGAGAGATAGAAACATCAATGATGAGAGAGAATCACTGATTGGCTGCCTCCTGCACACCCCCAACTGGGGATCGAGCCCATTCCCCAGTCATGTGCCCTTGACTGGAATCAAACCTGGGACCCTTCAGTCCGCAGGCCAATGCTCTATCCACTGAGCCAAACCAGCTAGGGCTGTATTTTCACTTTCATTTAATTCAAAATAATTTTAAAATTTCCCTGTGATTTTATCTTTGACCTCCTGGATTATTTAGAAGTGTATTGTTTAATTTCCAAACATTTGAGGTTTTCCCAGAATTCTTTCTATGGTAGATCTCTAACTTAGTTCCATTTTGGTTAAAGAACATACTTGATATGATTTCAGTCTTTTTGGATTTATTTAGACTTGTTTTGTGGCCAAGCGTATGGTCTGTCCTAGAGAATGTTCCACATGTGCTTGAAAAGAATGCATAACATGGGTTATTTTTGTGTTGTGCCTTTTTTACAATATCGTATAGTAAATATTTTGCACATTGTCATTACTATAGAATACATTTCTAGAGGTCCTATTGCTTCTTACAATGTTGGTATGAATATTCTGGAGCAGTATGTCATAATAGATACGTATACGAGTGTTGAATCAGACATACCAGTTTTTATTACTTGTCTGCCCTTAAACAAGTTAGATAACATCTCTGAGCCTCAATGCTTTCATCTGTAAAAAGGACTATAATAAGGTTTATGGGTGGCAAACAATAGAAACGGACTCTTGATTAATGTCAGTATAATCAAGCAAAATTCTGAACAGGGTGGGGAGTGTAGGAACCCGAGTGGCATCAGGAATCTAGGTAGCAAGAACTAATGACAGTGTCTTCTAGGTGCTACCATCAGAAAGCATCCCTCCCTCCATGTCCTCCTTTGGTCACTGCTTAGGACCCAGACTCTAAAGAGAATAGGTACGATGGCTTGAGTCTGGGTCAGATATATCCACCACTTGACCAGGGGAGGATTATTTTACATAGTTAATATATTCTGAAACTAATTTTTGTGGTATAGACCCTGAGATAGTATTACAGCAAACTCCATTGTATTATTAAAATGAGTTATATTTATATTCTAAGAGCTCATTTAGAATATAAGAGAGAGTAACACAATTTAAGGCTTGGGTGCCACTGTGGAATTTAGATAGGAAAGTATAATCTTTTAGTCCAGTGGTTCTCAACCTGTGGGTCGCGACCCCTTTGACGGTCGAACGACCCTTTCACAGGGGTCGCCTAAGACCATCCTGCATATCAGATATTTACATTACGATTCATAACAGTAGCAACATGACAGTTATGAAGTAGCAATGAAAATAATTTTATGGTTGGGTCGCAACATGAGGAACTGTATTTAAAGGGCCAGAAGGTTGAGAACCACTGTTTTAGGTTATGCTTTTTTATTTTTCTGTCCTCCAGGTTGAAGTTTAAGCTCAACAAAGATACAGCATTCACTGTTGGCATTTATAATATGGTCCAGAAGGCTCACAAACCTCCTCCAATTAGGCTTTATCGGGAAACAAATGAACCAGTGAAAACCAAGACTCGGACATTTAATGTAAATACAGGCAGTTTGCTTCTGCCAAGTGACACCAAGAGATCTCAGGTAGGCCTGCCTACTGACTGAGTTTTGTCTCATTGAGGAGCTAACAGGGAGGGGAGACAGTGATCAGCCTAACCAGATAGCTTTCATGTGCGCATCTTTCTAGCCAAGTTGTTACAACAACATCATTACTCTTTGAAACTATGGCATCGAGATCAGAGATACCATGAGAGCTAGAAAGTTAGAGCCAGTGCTGGAAAGAGACATCAGTGGAAACTTTAGCTCTTGCCCTGCTGGTGTGGCTCAGTTGGCTGAGTGCTGTCCCATGCACCACAAGTTGTCCGCTGGATTCCGGTCAAGGGCACATGCCCAGGTCTCAGGATTGATCCTCGGTAGAGGGCGCGCAGGACGCAGCGGATCGATGTTTCACTCTCACATTGATGTTCTCTCTCTTTCCCTCTCCCTTTCTCTCTAATATTCAATACGCTATTTTTCCCCCCGCCAAGAAAACTAGCCCTTGATCACTCAGTACAGGATGTGCTGTGTCTTACAGTCTAATTCCTTGTCAGGTATAATAGCAGAAAATGCTGATAGTTAACGAGGGAGATGGGGAGTTAGGGAAAAGGTGTTAGGTGTCAAGTGCTTTTTAAAATTTTTGATTTTTTTAGGGAGAGATTTTCCCCCCTCATTTCTCCTGTGTTTTGAAATGATACACATAGGCCTTATTTATTTATAAATATATTTTTATTGATTTCAGAGAGGAAGGGAGAGGGAGAGAGAGATAGAAACATCAATGATGAGCGAGAATCATTGATCAGCTGCCTCCTGCACGCCCCGCACTGGGGATCGACCCCACAACCCTGGCATATGCCCTGACCGAAAATCAAACCCAGGATCTCCTCAACCACTGAGCCACGCTGGTCGGGCCCTTCTTTCTTTCTTTTAAATCCTCACCCGAGAACATGCTTAGAGAGAGAGAGAGAGAGAGAGAGAGAGAGAGAGAGAGAGAGAGAGAGAGAGAGAGAGAGAGAGAAACATTGATCAGTTGCCTTCCATATGTGCCCTGCTCAGGAATCGTACCCACAGCCTTTCTGTGCATGAGACAATGTGCAATGAACTGAGCCACACTGGCCAGGCCTGAGTTTCTTGATCCAATGTCCCTAAAGAAAACCTCCAGGGCTCTGTTTTTCATAAAACCCGAATTTGACTCTAACAGAGTAACTTCTGTAACTACTCACATATCTAGGATCACAACACAAACATTAAAGTGTGTGTATCTGCCTCCCACTACCTGAGACCCAGCCACTGCCTGACTTAGGTCCTCTCAATAAATGCGTGTGGTTCGACACCCTTTGTGTGTCAGGGACGAGCGCTCAGTACATGTAAAATGAGGGAAAGAATGAATGCTTGAAGAGCGTGGTCTTTGGCACCAGACAGAGCTGGGTTGAAGCTTAATTCAGTTGTATAACCTGGAGCAAGTTACCAACCATTGAGCCTCAGGCCCCTTCTCTGTAAAACAGTTTTAACATCTCCCACCAAGGATTATCACAGAGGATACATTACAGAGGATGGCAAACTCCAAGGGCCTGCCGGGCACTCAGTCAATGTTAATTTCTGGTGGTAGCGGGGTGATGCCCCTGGTGAGCCACGCTCCCGCTCCGTAGAAGAAAGCTGGCTTTGACTTGCCAGTGTCATGGGGCAGCTATTTGGAATCTCCAGCAGCCTCTCTGTGTGGCCCTTCCTTGTTTCCCGCCTTTAGGTCTATGGGAGCCGTCAGATTGTGCTAGAGAAAGAGGAGATGGAACAGCTAAAACGGTTTGATGAACCAGGTTTGGTTCTCATTGGTTTCAAGCCCTTGCTAATGCTGAAGAAGCACCATTACGTGAGGCCCTCCCTGTTCGTGTACCCCGAGGAGTCCCTGATTAATGGTAAGTAGCACAGACCAAAGGTAAATGAATGAGTAGCACAGAAAGCAACTTGCAGAGCTGCATTTCCTAAAGAGGTGCTGATGGGAAACTGCATAGAGTGCATTACTGGGGTAATTAAACATATATATATATATATATATATATATATATATATATACACACAGTATATATTTAAATATGTTTTTAATATTTATTTTTTTATATATTTTATTGATTTTTTTACAGAGAGGAAGGGAGAGGGATAGAGAGTTAGAAACATCGATGAGAGAGAAACATCAATCAGCTGCCTCCTGCACACCTCCCACTGGGGATGTGCCCGCAACCAAGGTATATGCCCTTGACTGGAATTGATCCTGGGACCCTTCAGTCCGCAGGCTGACGCTCTATCCACTGAGCCAAACCGGTCAGGGCTAAATATGTTTTTATTGATTTCAGAGAGGAAGGGAGAGGGAGAATCATTGATTAGCTGCCTCCTGCATGCCCCCTACTGGGGATCTAGCCCGCAACCCGGGCATATGCCCTGACCAGGAATTGAACCGATGACCTCTTGGTTCCTGGGTCAAAGCTCAACCACTGAGCCACATCAGCTGGGCTTACTGAGGTATTCTGAAAGTGTTTCATGTGCAAATAAATTTTGGAAATGTGGGACTAAACTAAAAGAAGCTTCTTTAGGACCTATGATATGCCAATATGCATTTTGAATGTCCAGGAGGGGTATGGAATTAGCATTTTAAAAACTTACTTCCTTCTTTGAGGCATCAGGTAGACAGTTTGAAAAACAAACAAACCACAAAACAAACTTTTTCCCTAATGTTGGCAGTTAAAGATGGTATTAACTCAGGCATTGGGTTTATTTTACTGTCCAGACCTATATTCTGTGCTATAGCTAATGAACCCCCTGATTTGACTGATGGATTTTCATTAATAACTGGGGCTATGTCGTTAACCTAAAAAAAGTAAAAGTGAACTGACATTAATAATTCACATTTGAGGCATCCATTCTCATTCCTTTCCCCTCAGCTCTGGATCCATCACCCCTTACCTATTGAAGTATCATAAACCCTTTGAAGAAAGTGGAAGAAAAGTTACCCCTAAAGGGATGTTTGTTTTGCAGGGAGCTCAACCCTGTTCAGTGCTCTCCTCACCAAGTGCCTGGAGAAGGAGGTCGTGGCAGTGTGCAGATACACCCCCCGCCAGAACATCCCCCCTTATTTTGTGGCCTTGATGCCACAGGAAGAGGAGCTGGATGACCAGAAAATCCAAGTGACTCCCCCAGGTATGTGGCAGAGAGATTTTCCAGGCTTCTGAACCTTGTCAGGCTTTGGAATCCCTCACAGGATTCGTGGTACCAGAGTTGCCAGGAATGGGCCCTGGGAAGTGTGTGTGTTTTTTTGTTTTTTTAAAAATATATTTTATTGATTTTTTACAGAGAGGAAGGGAGAGGGATAGAGAGTTATAAACATCGATGAGAGAGAAACATCTACCAGCTGCCTCCTGCACACCCCCTACTGGGGATGTGCCCGCAACCAAGGTATATGCCCTTGACCGGAATCGAACCTGGGACCTTTCAGTCCGCAGGCCTATGCTCTATCCACTGAGCCAAACCGGTTACAGCAAGGAAGTGTGTGTTTTTAAGGTTTCACAGGTGAGTCTGGTGAGTAGCACAGAAACCAAATGTGGTTGTACAGTGCACAGCATGTACTATCAAGCAAGGCAGCTCTTCGACCAATGATTCTCTCTCATCATTGATGTTTCAATCTTTCTCTCCCTCTCCCTTCCTCTCTGAAAAGAAAAAGGAACATCAATGATGAGAAAGGAACATCGATTGGCTGTCTCCTGCACGTCCCTACTGGGTATCAAGCCCACAACCTGGCATGTGCCCTAACTAGGAATCAAACCGTGACCTCTTGGTTTATGGGTCGATGCTCAACCACTGAGCCACACTGGCCGGGGAACCCAGTTTCTCCTTTTCCAGCTGGCTCTGGGTGAGGCTCTGTCGAGAGTAGGTGTTAGAAGGAGATAACAGGGCAGAGGAGAGCGAAGGGACTTGCTCCTCTCTCTTTCCCAGTGCTGTTGGCATTGCCTGCAAGGGCACTTCCCAGGGCAGCAGCTTGGCTCCAGTCTCCAGATTTTTTTTGGAACAAGATCAGCCTGATTGCCCTCGATTCTTCCCTTTCAGCATGTGGTGGAGGGTGAGGAAATAGAGGGGGCTCAGAGGGGGCCTGATGGAGCTGGGACTTAGTCCTTAGGGAGTGGGCACTGTCCAGCTGGCTCTAGTGTATCAGAAGTTGGAGGTGGGACCAGCTGCTGCCGCCAGGTAAAGAGCCCTGGCAGTGATAGGAACAGCAAGTATATGGAGGAGCACTCCTGCCTTGGGGTTGCCCTCTTGAGGAGTGTGTTAGGCAGATGCTATCAGATATTAGCTGGTAAAGGAAAAATGGGGCTGGCAGGGTCCCAGCCCCAGCATCACAGGACATAGAAGGGTGAGTTTGGCCCTGGCCAGGTAGCTCACTTGATTAGAGCGTCCTCTTGATGCACCAAGGTTATGGGTTCAATCCCTGGTCAGGGCACCTACAGGAATCAGCTGATGGATGGGATAACAAGTCGATGTTTCTGTCTCTTTAAAAAGACGGGTGAATTTGGAGCTGAGGGACAAATGACAACTCAGTCACTGAAACCTTTTGTTAAGTCAGGTCTCAGAAATCTTCTCTCTTTTCTTCAGGCTTCCATCTTGTCTTCTTACCCTATGCTGACGATAAACGGAAGGTGCCCTTTACTGAAAAAGTCATGGCAAACCCAGAGCAGGTAGACAAGATGAAGGCTATTGTTCAGAAGCTCCGCTTCAAATACAGGTGAGTAGCGGATCGATCACTGGCTTGCTTCTGGAACTGCCTCCTGAGTTGAAAGTCCGTTTTTTTTAAATCCTCACCTGAGGATATGTTTTCTCAGCTGACCTGGGACCTGCACTGAGTTGGGTTAATTTAATTTTATTATTTTTAACATGTTTACATTTTTATTTTAAAATTTACTTGTGTTTCCATTACGATGATTTTAACAGAAGTGACAGCTTTGAGAACCCAGTGCTGCAGCAGCACTTCAGGAACCTGGAGGCCTTGGCTTTGGATTTGACGGAGCCCGAACAAGCAGAAGATCTGACATGTAAGAAGGCCGCCACTGAGAGAGGAGGTCTTGTCGGGGAGGCTTTCTGTTTGATCTCGCTCTGGACAGTAACGTGGACGTATTTCCTAGCACCCTCTTGAGACTTAACCTCGTTGTCCAGCCCATCTCTGTCTGATTTTCTAGACCAGCTTAGATGGCCTGGGAACAGATTGGGCTGTGAGAGGAGTAGAAAGTGCCAGGCTTCTCAAACCTGCCTCTGAACTAGGCCATTCCTTGGCTACATAATGGTTAAAAAAACCACCATTTATTGAGTGTTTACTGTGTGCCAGGTACTATCCTATGTGCTCACTCATTCAATCCTCATAACGGTGAGGTAGGCACTGTCTTTGCCTTGGGTAATGCTCCGGGCACCCCAACCACTCCCCCATCTGCCTCCACACCTCATTCGTCAGTAGGTCTTGTCAGTTCTATCCCTTTTCATGTTTATGGTCCAGTCCCATGCCCCACCCCACCCCTACACACACTGCTCCAACCTTCTGTCTTACCTGCCTTCAGTTCATACTCACACAGCTGTCGGGTGATCTTTCTAAAATGCAGATCTGATCCTGTCGCTCCCCTGCTCATAGCTCTTAGTGTTTCCCACTGTTCTTATGATGAGTTTTAGTTCCTGGGCAGGCTTTTGAGGTTTCTATTACCTACCTGTGCCTGCTTTTCCAGCCTCCTTGCTGGTCCTGCCCTCCTCATACCCTGTCTTCAAGCTGTATATTACCTGCTGTTTCTCACCCCAGTGCCTTTTGCTGCTTGGAATAGTGTATCTGCCTGAGGAAGAACAGTCCGCTTTCCCGAAAGCCTTTCTTGACCGCCACCCCCACGCAAGGCTCCAGTGTGCCCTGTACAGGCTCTGCCTGGCATTGCCAGCTGTATTGCGTCTGTTTTTACCACCTCCTTACCCTGACTCAACTGTAAGCCTACTGAGAGCCTAGACTTGTAGACTTGTTTGAACCCCCGGAATCCAGCCCAGTTCTCAACTCTACCACTTCCCAGCTGTTTGACCTCAGGCAAGTCAATGAACCTCTCTGTTTTCCTCCTCTGTAAAATAGAGGCAAACTTACCTACTCCAGAGGTTAACAAAGCTCTTAGAAGGGTGCCCGGCTGTAGTAAGTGCTCATTGAATGCAACTGTTAGAGGTACTTGGTAAATGTCAGACAACATTTGTTGAGTGTTTTCATGGCCAGGTCGGCTGCCTGCTTGCGGACCCTTCCTCCCCGACCTCCCCCAACCCCATCACGTGCTTACAGGAAGCCAGGGTTTGTGACTCGACAGGCCATTTTCCTTTGTTTTGATTTTCTAGTGCCGAAGGTTGAAGCAATGGATGAAAGACTGGGTTCCCTCGTGGAGGAGTTTAAGGAGCTTGTCTACCCACCAGATTACAACCCTGAGGGGAAAGTTTCCAAGCGAAAACAAGGTGAGAGCTGGGCGTGGACATCCTGTGGGTTATTTCCAAAAGTTGTCCTTATGGTCCTCCCGCAGAGAATAATGACCCTTCCGAAGTTCCTATGCAAACCTACATATTTACATATACAAAGGCATATTTCAGCATAAGTGGAATAGTATTCACATTGTTTCTAGTTTATTGTGTCACTCAGCTGTATACGTTCAACAGTTATTTTTATCCATATTTACTTATCTACCTCATTTAAAAAAATAAGGCAACAGCCCTGGCCGGTGTTTCTAAGTGGTTAGAGCATCAGCCCACACACCAAAGGGTTTCGGGTTCAATTCCCAGTCAAGGGCAAAGCCTAGGTTGCAGGTTCGATCCCTAGCCCAGCCAGGGTGCTTGCAGAAGGCAACCAGTTAATGTCTCTCTCATATCAGTGTTTCTCTCTCTCTTCCCCCATTCCCACCTTTCCACTCTCTCTAAAAATCAATGAGGGAGCCCAGCCAGCATGGCTCAGTGGTTGAACATCGACCTGTGAAACTAGTAGGGGACGGTTTGATTCTTGGTCAGGGAACATGCCGGGGTTGTGGGCTCTATCCCCAGTAGAGGGCATGCAGGAAGCAGCTGGTCAACGATTCTCTCTCATCGATGTTTCTATCTCTCTATCCCTCTACCTTCTTCTCCCAAATCAATAAAAATATATTTAAAAAAATCAGTAGGGGAAAAATATGAGATAAATATATAAAAAATAAAAAACAAATAATAAGGCTATATAGTGCTTCATTAGAAGGATGTGCTAGTTTATTCAGCCAGCCCTTTATTGATGGATATGCTGCCGTGAACATGGACCACCATCATGTACTTGTGTGAGCAGATCTATAGGATAAATTCTTAGCACTGTAATTGCTGGTTCAGGGTGTAAACATTTCAAGTTTTGAAAAGAATTGCCAGTTTGCCTCTGAAAAGTGATAGCTTATACCCTGTCCAAGAAGGGGGATGGGTGTGTTTCCCTACACTCTCACCAATCCTGGACTTTATATACTATTTTTAATTTTCACAAAAAGTAAGAGGGGAAATTCTATCCAGTTTTGATTTGCAATTCTCCAGTTATGATGAAATGTAGTTTTCTTGGCCTTTTTAGGGTCGGGGCGGCAGTGGGCTTTACCCTTTCTGCATCAGAAGCGCCTCTAGTGCCGTGGGAACAGAGCTCTTCACACCTGTGCGTGCACTGGTGCTGTACTTGTTTATCTCGCTCAGCCTGCACGTTCCTGTCACCTAGCCCGGTCCCGTGGTACTTACTTGGTGCTCTGGAAATGCTTTTGGGAGAGAGGGAGGGAATGAATACCTGCTCATTTAGAGTGAGACCAGTTTCGGGTAAACTGATGGCCTCAGAATACTCTTAACACCCTCCGAGGTTGATGGTTTTGATTTTATGCGTAAATGAAGCTGCCTTATCGAGGCACTATCTGCCCACAGTGCTCTAAGTGGGCGTCATGGCTGATGGAAATGTCTGACTGCCGTCCAGATCATGTGAGGTCCTATGCGTGTAGTTGGGATGCCACTGGCAGCATTTCCAATCACTCCCTCCCGACCTTTCCCCAGATGATGAAGGTGCTGGAAGCAAGAGGCCCAAGATGGAGTTGTCGGAAGAGGAACTGAAGGCCCATGTCAGCAGGGGCACGCTGGGTAAGCTCACTGTGCCCGTGCTGAAGGAAGCCTGCAGGGTGCATGGACTGAGGGGCGGGATGAGGAAGCAGGAGCTGCTGGATGCGCTCACCAAGCACTTCCAGGACTGAGTGACAGCCGCCACCCTTCCACCCTGGAGCCAGGCTGCCTGACAGAAGCCAGAACTTTACATTTGTGAGACTTCCTGTTGCTAAGGAGGCAAAATAGTCCTCCCATTTTGTTGTGCCTTATTCTGACTGAATAGAGCCCTAATTTTGTACTAAATGCTGTTCTTTAGTGTGAAAGAAACGTGTGTCTTGCATCCAAAGATCATTTGCTATTGGCTATTAGCTTAATTTTCTCACATCACAATGGGAACAAAATGAACACCAGTGAAGGTAGGGACAATGTGATGATTAAGGACAGATGAGCAGATTTCAGGAATGACAAGCCCCAGCAAGATCCTGTCCTCTCCTCTTTTCCTTTAATTGTGTCCTATTAACCACTATTCGCCAAAAGTGCCGGGAGCGCTATCGCGCTCCTCCTGCAGTGTCCAGTTCTAAGTCTGCTTTTTTTAAAAATATATATATTTTTTATTGATTTTTTTTTACAGAGAGATAGGGAGTTAGAAACATCGATGAGAGAGAAACATCGATCAGCTGCCTCCCGCACATCTCCCACTGGGGATGTGCCCACAACCCAGGTACATGCCCTTGACCGGAATCGAACCCGGGACCCCTCAGTCCACAGGCCGACGCTCTATCCACTGAGCCAAACCGGTTTCGGCCTAAGTCTGCTTTTATTAGTGATGATGATATTGCTAAATATGTCAATTCTTGCTATGAAGATGAAGATTTTGTGGAAGATATTGAATATGTAACTTCATTTACTTGCGATTCATAATTTTTTTCCTAAACTGCTGTAAAATCAGCAAAAATGCCTTGGCGATTTTAGCATAGTTCCTAGGATATTGGTTGGCACTCAAAGGGTTAAGACCTAAAGGCCAGATTTCAGAAGCAATAAGAATGTAACATTTCTAATACTGTTACCATTTGCTTCCTGAGTAAATAGCACTCCCCCACCTCCCATGTTGCATTCCTTTTAATGTGACATTCAAGTATATGAAGATAGTTTCTGTTGCCCCAAGAATTTGGGTTCCAGTGTAAGTGAAATCAGTTCTTATTTTTCAGGGGAGCTGTAGTAAAGCAAGTTCACGATGAGGAGAGGTCCTAGTATTAGGAGGGGAAGCGGGGAGTCTCCCTCCCCTCCCCCCACCCCTCCTCCATCCTCCCTGTTTCTTTCCTGCTCTCTCTGCTCTTGCTTTTGAAAAATTAGCTTGAGAGAAGGAAGAAAAACATCTGCAAGAATTTGTGTCCTCTGAGGATGGCTTGAGATTCAGAGTTTGTAGGGCCTGTGTCTTTCAGGATTAGCATGAGCCTCTCATGAGGAGCGTGTAGGAGGGTCAAATTCCTCTTGTGAGAGATTTTCAGTTTTGGGTTCTTTGCTCTGAGCTTTATAACGTCAATTTGGGATTTAAGGTAATGGGAATGTAGTTTAGTACTTAACAATACTACAAATGAATAATCTTTTTCACAAGGTCATCATTGTAAATGTAAAAATATTCCTTAATCATAGGTCCTCTTAAGAAATTGGTTTTAGGAAACTTATTCTAAAATAGAAGTTCCTGACCAGTGTTCATCAGGGCCCCTTGAGACCTAGTGAAAGCCATTGGATTCTCTCTCCAAAATAAAATAAACTGTATACGCAAAATTTTCAACCTATTTCCTAGGTGGCTGGATGGAAAGGACAGGTTTCCTTGTTTTCATGTCTAGGCTTTAGGAACTGTTCATTCTACACATTGGGGCACCTGTTAGGGTGCTGCTGCAGGTGCTAAGTTCTGGCTCTCTACTGAGGGCAATAATCAGATGACAATCTGATATTAGTTAAGGACAAGTGGAATAGAATGCGACGGTGCTGCAGGAGAGGCAACATGAGGTGGGGTAGCTGGGAAAGGCCCTAAAGAAGTGACATTTGAATGACTAGCATGAGGAGAAAGCCACCAGGGCAGCAAAGGAACACCAAGTACAAAGAATTTGAGAAGGAAATGGGTAGGGGGTGTTCCAGAAACCAAATATGAAGCACTGAGCAAAGATAGAACTCGGTGAAGCAGACACAGGACACGCAGAGACCATGAGGAGCAGGAAAGAGCCACGGTTGTTTCAGGTGATCACTCGTTGACACCTGCCTTTTGAAGGCCCCCAAGGGAGCTGATACAATGGAGTAGACCCAGCACCAGGAAGGAGGATCCCGGGAGCCCCGCCCCACCCCACTTCTTAGGGCTCTATGGGTAAGCCTGCGTTTCCATTTAGGTGGAGGTTGGATTTCTTAGTTCCCTCTGCCCCCAAATTATTTCAGTCCTTTAGAGTACTTTAAAGTACAAGAGAGTAAGAACTACCTCAAAATTCACCATCCACAAATAGGAAACTGCTGGGGGCAGTGTGTATATAAACACTGGAGCAGGTTGGGGAGGAGGGGGAGGGAAAGACGGCCAACAGGCATACAACAGGGTGGTTTCCAGGTTTCCTTCTTACTGGAGTGGGTACACTGGCCCGTGCTGGCCATGAGGAAACCAAATATAACCTATCCCCATTCATCTGACCATTACAGGACTGTTATTTGTACTTTGTAAGAAAATGTCCCCAGCTGAGGTAGCAGACTTTCAGGGTACTTCCCCTTTGATAAAAAAAATAGGTGAGGCAGGTGACATGACAATGATTTCAGTCACCAATCTCAATCCCCCCTCCCAAGGGCTACCAGGAGCCCTAATTTTGCAACAGTGATTCTCAACTAGGAGTGACACTGCCACCAGGGAACATTTGGCAATGCCTGGAGGGAGGAGTTAAGGTTGCCATTGACATCTGATGGGTAAAGGCCAGGGATGCTGCTAAAAACCCTGCCACACACAGGCAGCCTCCATCACAGGATTATCCAGCCCCAAATTCTGAACTACCAGAAATCAGCTGGTAGGTAGTGATGGCTTTTGCACAGCTTCTTGGTGGAAAGTTTGAACAGCTAAAACCGTACTAATAACGCTAAGCAGTTCAAGTATTAGCTGGATACCTACCAAGAATCACACTTTCTCTTTAAGTTGTAGTATGAATATATTTCTTTACTAGGACTCTCACAACAATGATACATTAGCAGTCCTTCTGATGTGATCAAGAACACATACATCTGACCCACATCGTAGCAGGACAGGAAATGGGTAAAGGCTCTCAGAGCTGATACCAAGTGTCCACTGAAGAAATCTATTCACCAGAAAGGATGTTTCCTTGGACTCCATCACCTCTGTTGTAGCTTCGTCTCCAAGACTTGCCCAGAATCCTTCAGTCCAGCACCAGTTGACTCTTTCTCTTGCCACTCGACTCCTTAAAGACCTAGGTCAACTGCTCCATGCCTCACTAGCCTAGGCCACTTTTGGAATCCTGCAGCACACATCTTTGGTATGCTGCTGTCCTCCACCCTCAGGGGCACAATTGGGAGGCTTTTGTTTTTTTTTTCTTGGGGGGGCGGGGAAGGACATATATTACCAAAAGGAAACGGTAGGGGTACATTAATAAATGACACTTGGGCATACAACTACCAACCTCACAGGATACATGCTTCTTCCTCAAATGACGCAGAATACCCGAGAGCAAAGGAACCCCTGGATCACGTATGGGATGATTCTGTATGCCAGGCACAAGGGAGATGAAGTGGGTGGTGTCTACTTCACCATGCCCTGTACACAAAAGGGAGTTAGTGCCTCAAAGCTGGAACCGGATCTCTCTACTCTGGCTCTTTCCTGCCTTTGAATGGTGTCACGACTCTGCTTCTACCTGTTCTGGGCTTAGTTCATTTTTCAAAAGGGAGGAAAGATGGCGGAGGAAAAGTGGAAGAGGAGGTTTAGGGGTGGGTGGGTGTGGGGATGATAATCTATAGGACAAAACAAAAATAATTCAAAAATATAAAAAGATTTACTACGACAATATTTTATAACAATAGAAGGTAGCTGGAAATCCTACATGGTAACACAGACAATATGATACACAACCGAGGGGGAGGAGGCAAGAGAGCGTGGCAGAGGCCACCGGTTTAGACTAAGAGCCTTTCAATGGACTGCTGAATGGACTGGATCTGCTGCTTCAGCTGGGAGCCTTCTTTGATGGTGACAGAACAGGCGATGACAGGCCTGGAGACCCCGCAGGCCCGCCCCAGCGCCTGCTTGGAGCGCACAAACACGTAGGGCACATTCTTGTCCTCACACAGCAGCGGGAGGTGCAGGATGATCTCCAGGGGCTCTGCGTCTGCAGCCATCACAATGAACTCAGAGATGCCTCTGTTAAGGGTTTTGGTGGCTGTGGAGAGAAGGACATGCGGCCAATAGGTGATGGGGGGTTTGGGCAGGGAAGCCACAACAAAGCAATTTCCAAGGAAAAGAAACACATGCAAGAAAACTGGGCAAAACTCTCACACATAAGCAAGTCTCTGCCCTGTAGTGGCCTTGGGAAGGGACAAGGGATTTAAGTGCCAGTTGGTTATCCTCAGTGCCTTCCTCAAACCCATCCGTTCTGTCAGAGCACATCCTGAATCAGTCCACTTCTCTCCTCTCCTCTGTACCACATGTCCAAGTCACCGCCATCTCTTGCCTGGTTGATGGGAACAGCTTTCACACAAGCCCCGCCAGAATGAAGCAGAGTATGCAGCACTTCTCAGACTCTGATCTGTGACAGTTTTACCATCTCAACCTGCCACAATCAGTACTTCTGACAAGCTCACATGCAACTCACCCAGGAAGCACACCACCACACGGCATCGTTAAATGCTTATTCCTGATAGTTTATCTCTGTGGCCCAGCGCTAGCACACGGACCACACTCTGCATTAATGCTCACGTACTAAACAAGGGCACAGGCTCTAGAGCAGTGGTTCTCAGCCTTCTGGCCCTTTAAATACAGTTCCTCATGTTGTGACCCAACCATAACATTATTTTCGTTGCTACTTCATAACTGTACTGTTGCTACTGTTATGAATCGTCATGTAAATATCTGATATGCAGGATGGTCTTAGGCGACCCCTGTGAAAGGGTCGTTCGACCGCCAAAGGGGTCGCGACCCACAGGTTGAGAACCACT